ATGAACTAAATTTGTATGGACAGCCCGAACTCAAGTTTCTTTCATTTCATTTTTGTTTTTTGCCAAATGTTATTAACTGTAGTTGCAAATCCTGGCTAAATCCATTGGCTCATGCCGGCTCTGTAGGCTTTCGGAAAAACTTTTTACCTTTTGTTTATGTGCTAGCCAAAAACTTTTTTGCTCTCTCCCAAATCAAGAATAATGGTCCCATTGCAGATTCCAGATACTGTGCGTGTGTGTGCGAGTGTGTGGGAATCTCATATGTATGCTGTCTTTTTGATTTGTATGCAAAGTGTTAAGGTTCATGCTAAGCCAAAAAAGGAGTTCAATTTCAGCATCCGCTTCAGCTTCAGCTTCAGCTCCACTCGTAGCACAACGAAGGAGAGAAATTGGCTTGTTTGTCTTTTGCAAGTTGAGTCTATTTGCAATTGTAGTTGACCATATTGATAAGCTTCCACAGACTTCATTAGAGACGTGCGTTCCCCAGCAAACTTTTGTGTGAGCAAAAGTTCAAGCCGAAGTCATAAATTGGGCTTCAATGGATTTGTGGCAACAACATCATATATCAATTCTTGATTGGAGTTCACTTAAAGCTGCGCAAATTGATGAGAAAAAACTCGGCCTGAACTATGAGAAAGATATATGGAAAGTCTTCGTAGTAGGGAAAGCCAAAGCGACGTGAAGTTCTTATATCAGATAAAAGAGACCCAATCCACCCTAAAGTGTTTTCTTGCTCTTCCCCTCATTGTGCCCCAAATATCAATATAATTCAGTCAATTTTCCATATTGCCAAACACAACATGCAGCAATACGCAATCAAAACTCTGTTTAAAGCGATTTACTATGGGTCTGCTGGCAAAAGTTAAAGCAACTAATTCGCTTTTGCCAATCTCATTATTTGGACTGATTTTTGTTTTTTTGCTTTATTTTCATTGCAGCTTGTTTTTGTTGCTGCTTGCATATGTTGACCATGTTGTTTGGTTGAGTTTATTTGATTTTTGTTGCGGCGCTACGAAAAATGTTGTCCATTTATGGTAAAATGCATTCAACTGTGAGTGTCATGAGGCAAATGCAATTTGCAGAGCTGCAATTGCAGCAGCAACAGCAACAGCAGCAGCAACAGCAACAGCAACAACTGGTGACATCCTTTGCGTATGGCATTACCTTGTTTGTGTGTATGTGTGTGTGCATATAGTTGATATGGTTGTGCGTGTGTGTATCTGTGTGTGAGTGTGGCAGGGCTCATCATTGGTGCACAGTGGCACATGCATCAAACAAATTCGATAGCGTTGCTTTCTGGCTACTGGCCAAGGCTGCTGCCGCATAATAAGCGTAAACGTTGGCTAACAAGATTCATGCAACGCTGTTGTGCCCCGGAGGCAAACATGCAATGGCCATCAACGTGTCCTGTCCAACGTCGCCAGTCCACTTCCACACACACACACACACACACAATCACATACATACACACACACACACACAGTCAAGCGTCGACGCGACTGAATGGCAAATTGCGAATTGCGAACGAAGCGCGCTTAATGCAACTTTGTTGCTCGGTTGATGTTGCTGCTGCTGTTGCTGCTGCTGCTGCTGTTGTCAGCTTCGTTGGGGCAGCGATTGAAAAATCCCACTTGGGCGTTTTTAATTGGATTTTAAAATACTTGTCCCATGCAGGCTGGCCAGAGAGCTACAGCAGCAGCCAGCAGCAGCAGCCAGCAATGACCATAGCCATAACACGAGCATCAACCTCAGCTCTGACTCCTCCTCCCCGCTGCTCTGCCCCCTGCTCCACTGTCGCTCTCAGCCAATGGTTCAGCAAGAACATATCGACCAGCAGACGTTGGTCAGCAGTCAGGGGCTCAACACGCTCGTTATCCTTGTTTTCTGATGCTGCTGCTCCTGCTGTCCCTCCTGCTGCTCTCCCTCCTCCTGCTACTGCTGCTGCTGCTGCTGCTGTTGTGCACAATTTGGTTACGTGTTTGACCTGCGGCGATTTTTCATAGCAGAGCCCAGTTTATATTTTTTGCTGCTGCTGCTGTTGTTGTTGTTGTTGTTGTTGCTGCTGTTGTGGTGGTGGTGTAGAGCCCATACATTAATGGCATTGCGAAATTTGTATTGCAAATGTCACTAAGGGTCGGCCAAATGAATCCCAGCCATAAATATAATCACATGTGTTTTTCCTTACCACAAACACAATCGCCCAGCTTTATTCGCATGCCACGTGAAATGCGATACAGACATTGCGGATCTATGCCAGCTTAGTTGTTGACCTCTTCCGCTATAATGTGGCAAGTTGAGTTTCATTTAAATGAGAGCTCTGACTGTCTTCGGCATAATTATGATCATTAGCATATTTGATTAAAAAGTCTCATTAGGATTTGAGTGCGGAGCCCTCGCGCGCTGACAGTTGGCTGCATCATTTCACGCCTCAACGGAAGTTGCTTAAGAATACAGCAGAGCAGCATGAAAACAGCTGAGAGTCGAGAAACAGATTTTAATTTCAACTAATTGCCAAGTCGCTGTTACCTGGCAGGTAAATAGCGAAGCAGCTGGCAACTGCAGCATGCGGCATGCGGCATGCAGCATGCAGCATGCAGCCAGGCGACGCTTAAGTAATTAAAGCTTGCACTTCGTTAGCTTTAAAGGGCGAGAGTCCTTGGCTCCTCCAGTCTGCCTGCCTCCTGCCTAATTGTAGCAAGTGTCCGGCTCTGCGCTTGATTGTATGTAAATGCAATCCGAATGTCTTTATGTCTCTGCCTCAAAGCAAAAGTTGTCTTTCAGCTCGGACTTTGCCTGGCTTTGGCAGGACTAATTTACTTTTAATTATTATAATGACTTGAAGTTCGACAAATTGGCCCTAATGCGAGTTAGTGCGTCAGCGCAGACAAATGACATCCTGCACAAGGTAAATAATCAACGCAGCACAGGACATCAAGAAAGAGTTCAGGCTGTCCATGTTTAATGAATGCTCAAGTACTTTAGCTCAGGCTAATCAGTTGAGCACTTGGAGCACTTGGAGCACTTTGATTTGAGGCAGACAAATTGCTCAAGAGCTGTCAGCTTTTGGCTGATATAATAATGCTTATAATGATATATGCTTTAACAATTAACGAAGGTGTCTTTTTGGGCTCGCATAACTTCCAAAGTCCACGGCCTTAGGAAAATATTTTTCTTTTACGCAAGTTATGCTAAGAAAAATAAATTTCACATAAACAAAAACAGAAAAAAAAACAAAGAAAAAACAACACAATCACAAACAAAAGCTAAATAAAAAAAATTGAAAAAAATGAACAAAAAGCACACAAAATCAAAATGCTTAGCAATTGCTTTGCTTTTTTAGCTTTTGTTATATACTTTATTCGGTCTTCTTTTTTTCGTGCTCGGCCTGGCATTCAGCATTTTTCTGCCCCGCCTCCGTCGCCCTTTTGAGCTCTTTTTCTGCGTCGCAATGTTGCTGGATTAACAGGCAACAAAATATATATTTTTTTATTTGTATTGTTTAGCAGCGCTGATTCGCGCCCAGCCTCAGCCCCTCCCTCCCTTCGCATGGCCGGCCTGTGGGATTGTCCAACTGTTGTCTGTAGGGCGCAGGATTTTGTTGTCACTTCAACACACACACACACACACACAAAATACATATAAAAATGAAACAAGTGCAAAAGTGGCAGCAAAACAAAAATCCACTTGAATTTTTTACACTGTATTTTTTGTACATTTGCAACACGATAAAAAACACAGAAGGGAACACAAAAAAAGAAGGGAAAATAGAAACAAAATATAAAAATCTTGTTCCTGTTTGCACGCGAAATTTGCGCTTGTCTGCCTTACGGCTTGTCAGCTCGCATGTTGCACGGTTTTAGGCGGGATTTGTTGCGCGCTCGCACTGCATGCCACATGCCACATGCCCCGGCGTCAACTACAAAGGCAAAGGCAACGGCAATGGCAACGGCAGCGGCAGCAACAGCCGGAGTTCGCAATTTAGGCAGCGCAACTGCCTGACAAATAGATGGGCGGGTGAATGGTATTTCTCCTCCCCCCTCCTCCTCTTCTATTGTTGTTGTTTTCCTTCTCTTGAGGGTCTTAATTTTTACCATTGTTGCTATTGTTGCTGCTGTTGCTGTTGCTGTTGCTATTTCCCCCAAGCGCCAAAGCCCGAGTGAAGGTTAAGCTCTACGCGGAGATCAACTCTCAAAGGCCTAGATTAATTCCTGAGGGTTTCCGCCAGACTCTCAAAGTGCGAACTTGCTTTAAATGGGGCAAGCTGACTTTTAAATGCAGAAACATAATTTGTTTAATTGTTTAAGGCTGTCAAACAGGTTGAGCAAATAGTGGGAGATTCATGAGGTCAAAATTAATGCTAGTCAGGGTATCTTGTAGTCGTGCATACCCCAGCAAACACACGCTCATTGCTTTCTGTAATCTTTTGTGGTTATTGCCTGTGTATTAAATTAGCATAAATGATTTTTAATAATTATACTCATGAAGCTGCGCTCATCATTGTGGCCTGGCCACGCCCCGTTTCAGCGGCAGCACCGCCTCCACACTGCGAGCAGCTGGCGCACAAATTACAAAATAATGAGCGCCAAGTGCGATGTTTTTTTTATTATTATTATTTATTCTTCTCCATTCTTATTATT